GAAATGTCCACCCCGCCACCTTAGGACAGTACAAACAAACTACCCCAAGACTCCTGTTCACCAGTCACACCGACAAAGTCTGATCCACAGAGCGTATTGGAAAGAATGAGGGAAGCCAGAAATGGTGGCACATGGCTCCATCTGTCACACTTGGGAGGTGGAAGCTGAAGGACCAGGTGTTGAAGCCAACATTAACTACACAGTGAGTTCAAGATCAACCTGGGCTATAGCAAGTTCAAGTCCAGCCTGAGCTCCATGAAACATGCCTCAAAAAACAACAACAAAACTTAAACCAACAACAACAGGAAGCAAGGGTGGGGACAGAGAACAAGAGGAAAATAGGCCTTCTTACAGGTTGCTCTTGGTGTACAAATTGGCCTAGTTATCATCTTCAGAGGGTACTTCAGTGACAGATCTAAATTTTATTTCCATCTATTATTAGTTATGTAAGGGAGCACTAGGGCCACCGTGCTCATGTGAAGGTCAGAGGACAAATCCCAGCAGTCAGTTCTCTCCTACTTCATGGGTCCCAAGCTCAGGTCCTCAGGCTGGAGGGCAAGTGCCTTCACCTGCTGAGCCGCCCAGCCAGTCTCTAGATGACAGTTTTAACCCACAGCTGGGTGTGGCAGCTAGCATCTACAAAGCCAGAACTTGGGAGACTCAGGAAGCAGGACTATCGTAAGCTGGAGCTTGACGCAGCCTAGACTGCATACTGACCTCTGGGCAAGCTTGAGCTATAAGTATAACTGATTCTCTGTCTCAAAAATATCTAAAATAAATATCTGAAACATATCTAAAATAATCACATAAAGGTACTAAGGAATTTTTAAAAAGACAAAGCCAGCCTGCACTGCTTAGCCATTCTAACGTGGCAGTAGCACGTGCCAGAGGCAGGTAGGTTCTTAGGGTGTCTGGCCACACAGTCTAAGTAGTTAGTGAGCTCCACAGTTACCAGAGGCCCTGTCTCAAAAATAAATAAACAAACAAACAAACAAACAAATAAATAAGGTGGAGAAGCGATTGAGAAAGACAGAGACGTCTGGCCTCCACCCCTGGTCCTTTCATGCATGCATGATGAACTGTAACTTGGAACTGTGGGCTGATAAAACCCTTCCCTTGCCTGTGTTGCTTTTGATCAGGGTGCTTTATTACAGCAGCAGAAATCCAACAAGAACGCCACATAAAGGGTGGAAGCAGAGAACAAACCACACAAAGCTGTCCCTGACCTCCATGTGAGCACAATGGCACGCATGTTCTGACACCCATTTTGTGCACGCTCACACACAATAACAAAAAGTTTTAAATTTAAGGGGTAGGGGTAGGGAAGGAGCAACAAGCTTGCTTAGGAAATAAAGATGCTTGCTGCCAAGTCTGACAATCCAAGTTCAATCCCCAGAACCCATGTGGTGGAAGGAGAATCGGCTCCTGCAAGTTGTCCTCTGACATCCCACACGTGGCACCCACGCATGCGTGCACACATACACACAAATAATGTAATAAAAGGAATGAGGTAATGAGGTCGGGCTGAAGAGATGGTCACCTGTTAACACTGACTGCTCTTCAGGATTCGATCCCAGCACCCACATGGCTATTCACAACCCTCTTACCCTGTCCCACAGGGACTCAACACCCTGTTCTGAACTCTTTGAGCACAGCATACACACTGTATACATACAGACATACATACAGGCAAAAACCCCATAACACAGAAAAAAAATCTCAAAAATTAATAAGGTTATGTGTATATACAAATGGATACTTAAAGCCCAGTGATTCCTGCTTGCTGAGTTTTCTAGCCAGTCTTGACCTCACCAAAAAGCAAGCCCTTTGTGGCAGCCCACCACCTCTTTGCGGCACCTCTGACTAGCCAGAGCAGCACATCTGATCCCAGCCTGCTCTGCAGCACACATCAGGCAGGCCAGGCTGGTTTCCTGGCGGGACTGGAAGTTCCTGCTCGGCTCAAACTGGCATACCATCCTCCATCAGCACACACTAGTCAGCTGTGCTAGCTTGGTTTTTGCTGTAAGTGGGTCGTTGTGTCGTTCCTGCCCCTCAATCTCTACCTCTATCTTCTTTTCTGAGCCTTGACTATGCCAGGCAAACACTCTAACACTGGACTAGAACTCCAGCCTTCTTTTTCTTCTTAGACATGGTCTCACTATGGAGCTCTGACTGGACTGAATCTCACTACATAGACCAGGCTGGCTTTGAACTTACAAAGTGCTGGGATAAAAGGCATGTGCTACCACACCCTAACAGCCTTTATTTGAGACAGGATCTTACTATAAGGCTCAAACTAACTTTAAACTCACTATGTAATCCAGGCTACCCTTGAACTTGAGCTCCTCCTACCTCTGCCACCCAATCCCCAGGTGCTGAGACTATAGGCATGATCCATCACATTTGGAAGCTATGCTGGCCTTTTATTGCCAATGTTCCTTCTAATTGGGCAGTCTCATGCCAGTTGCTGAATATTTCAAGTGTTATTTCTGTGCCCATGTGGGCCTGACAACCTTTTTATTTTATTTTAATTAGTTAATGTTATTCATTTATTTAATTAATAAATTATTAATTTATTTTTGAGGCAGGATTTCTCTGTGTAGCCCTGGCTGTTCTGGAACTTACCAAGTAGACCAGAACAGCTTCAAACTCAGAGATCTGCCTGCCTCTGCCTCCCAAGCGCTGGGATTAAAGGTGTGCGCCACCACTGTCTGGCCTGGGCCTGGCAACTCTTGCTTTGCTTTCTTCCTCTCCAGTGAAGCTCTACTACACATCTACTATCTGTCTGGCACCAACAAGCCTCACATTGTCCCTACCCATCTCTACCCAAGTCTTGTCCATTTTTCAAGCTCCATTTTGCAAACTACCTTCCCGAGCGACCCAGCTGCTGCATCTGTAGGCCACATGGATGCTTCCAATGAAGACCAACCCTCCAGCATCTCTAACCAAGGTCACATTTACTCCTCCTCCATCTCTTTCCCAGTCATCCTCCCTAGTTAGCCTTTTAAAATGTACTTTTCTTTAATCCCAGCACCTGAGAGACAGAGACAGGAGATATCTGTGAGTTTGAAGCCAGCCTGGTCTACAAAGCAAGTTCCAGAACAGCCAGGGCTCTGTTACACAGAGAAATCTTGTCTTTAAAAAAAAAAAAATTAAACTTTTCTCTTTTTTGGGGGGTTTTTCGAGACAGCGTGTCTCTGTGTGACAGAGCCCTGGCTGTCCTGGAACTTGCTTTGTAGACCAGGCTGAACTCGAACTCACATAATCATAAGTGCTATGATTAAAGATGTGCACCGCCAAGCCCAGTTCAGTTAACTTCTCAAGTAGCTGGCACACCCATCCTCTTCCCCTCTCCCGAAGAAGCCATTTGCGTGCACTCCTACACACATGTATGGAAAGAGCGAGGCTTTGCACAGCTTTGCAGTTCCTCAAGGGCAGGCACTGTCATCAATGACCCTTCAGTAGCTGGCCACAGCATTTAACGAGCACTCAAGTCTCTAGCTGACTATCTGATGGACGGAGAAGGCGGAGATGGCCACATAATCGAGGCAGAGAAGGTAGGGAATGGAATGATGATGAGGGACGAGTCAGGCACAGAAGCAAAGGACCATACCACAGGCAACCCTCTCCGTCAGTCGTCCAGAGAGCTCTCTGGGCCTCACTGCCCAACCCTTCACATACCTTTTTAGGGGAGAAGACACCCACAGTGCCACCATCCTCCCGGACAGCCACGCCCATCTCAGCCAGCAGCGCTTCTCTGTGAGCAAGGAAGAGGCAAATGTCAGCCTGACCATTGCTGCCCCATCCTTCCCTGCAGAGGGGCCGGCTGTGCACCTTGGCCCTTGTACCTCTCCATTCTCAGGGCTTCTGTCTTACGGAGCTTCTCCTCCCAGGTCTCATTCAGCTCGGCAATAATCTTCTCCGTCTCCTGGGGGCATTAGGACAGACAGAAAGCAAGTTCAGGACAGTCCTGGACCAATACCTACCACAGAGACAACCATACTCCTGAGGCTCCTTCTTCCATTTCAGCCTTGGAGAAATAAAGTTGGAGCAGCACCCAGACCACCACCCCTTGCCGGTGCCAGCTTCGCTACCAGACCACCACCCCTTGCAGGTGCCAGCTTCGCTTCCCACCTGTAGCCTCTCCATGGCTTCCTCAGGCCCAATCTGGGGCTCAGCACTGGGGGAGAATGAAGGCTCCAGCTCCCCATTGTGTGGAGGAGGAGATGAGGGTGAAATTGGGGCGGGTGGAGAAGATACAGCTGGCAGAGTACCTCCAGGACTCCCCTCTTCCACCTTCAGACCTGGAAGGGAAAAAGCGAGGAGGCTAAGATGGAACTGATCAGAAGGCTAAGAGGGCCAGAGAACTGCAGGAGACATCTAAGGTGGCCCTCCTTAGCAACAATGAAAGCAGCTGAGAACCCAGGGCTGGAGCGCCTCACTCTTGCATGAGATGAAGCCGCCCATTCTTTCTACCATCAGAAAGCTCTTAGCTGTATCCAGCTGAAGAGGCCCCACACCGTGTGTGCCTAGCCCTTTTAGTTCTGCCCCTAGGATACGATGCCACACACTCTTCCTTTACAAGACAACTTATCTAACCTTATTTTCCTTCTCTTCCCAAGAACTCTTATTCTCCCCACTGTGTCCCTCAGCATGCTCTCCTCAGTGAGATGTACTTTAAGACTGGCACAGGGTGAGAACCTGATCCAGTTAACATGGATTATGTATCTTCTCACCCTCATGGACAGCGATTCCTTTTTTAAAAAATAAAAAACTGGAACACAGGGCTGGAGAGATGGCTCAGTGGTTAAGAGCACTGGTTGTTCTTCCAGAGGACCTGGGTTCAATTCCCAGCACCCACATGGCAACCCATAACTGTCTATAACTCCTCCAGGGAACCTGATACCTTCACACTGGTGCACATAAAACAAAGTCAAATAATATTTAAAAAAAATAAAATAAAAACAAATAAATCATTAGAAAGATTTTATCTTATAAAAAATAATACAGAATGCTTCATGAATTTGAGTGTCATCCTTGTGCAAGGACCATGCTAATCTCTGTGTCATTTCAATTTTAGTATATGTGCTGCTAAAATGAGCACATGGATATTAATTTCTTACCAGTGAAGCTACGTCTACAAACCATCCTGTTGTTGACTATTAAGCTATAGTTGATTAAAACCCCATTGTTTCCAGGCATAGTGACACACGCCTATAATCCTAACACTTGGAAGCCTGAGTGCATGGTAATCTTGACTACAGAATGAAACCTTGTCTCAAGACAACAAAGGGCAGCAAGGCATAGTGGCTCACACCAGCACTTGGCAGCCTGAGGTAGGAGGGGCTACAACAGTGGTTCTCAATCTGTGGGTTGCGGCCCTCACAGGGGTCACATATCAGATATTTAAATTAAGATTCATAATAATAGCAAAATTACAGTTATAAAGTAGCAACCAAATAATTTTATGGTTGGAGGTCATCACAACATGAGGAACTGTATTAAAGGGTCACAGCATTAGGAAGGCTGAGAACAGTTGAACAACAGAAAGGTCCAGGTTACATACAATGAGATCCAAAATGAAAACAAACAAACAAAAAAACAGAAAAGAACCTCTCATTTTATAAGACCTTCTCCAGGACACATTCCCCAGTGTCTTCTAACCTTCCTATGTGAACCATAAATTTGTGACTTGCTATATATACTCTTTGCACCTGGCGTTTATTCGTTCTAGAAGCCTGTCTTGAGTCTCCCTGAGAAACTAAGTCTGTTTCAGCTCCATAACATCAAAAGATGGAAGTGCCTTCTCCAGATATGTGTCCACATGACTGAACACAACGGGTTTAATGGTGAATGGACCTTCCCACATCCCAGAACTGGGCAAAGGCAAAGAAGGGCAGAGAGGTGAGCTAAGGGGCCTCCCTGCCTGTCCCTCCCCAGTAGCCCTACCTCCTAGAGCAGAGGCTGAGAGTCCCTGAGCCATCAGCAGCTCCCGCAAACGTGCCACCTCCTCCTGCAGCTCTCGGATAAGCCGGGCATTGGGATCCTCATTGATGACAGCATTGCACCGGATCTGCTTGGTACGGTCTGCATATCTGGGCAAGGAAAGAAAAAAGTGCTGAGAGCAGACCCAGGAGACCCCTGCTATGTGTCTACTCATTTCCTGTTCACCTGCTCAGATCTCAAACATTGTGACAGGGCTGGAGGCTCCCCTTCCCTTATGACTAACCAGCCTCTGAGCTCCTGGCACTTCTGGTATGCTACCAAAGCTGAAACCCCACCTGAGGGTGCTGAGTGTCTCCTCGTAGTTGATGTCAGCAGGACTCAGAGCTGCGATCATTGCTGTGCGGGAGTTCCCACCTATGGATGGAGGGGAAGAGAAAGTAACTGATGAGCTGGAGACTAAGAAAAGTCATATTGGACTGGATGAGATACTGCATGACTGGAACCCCAGGGCCTGGGAGGTGGAAGCAAGAGGACAGAGTTCAAGGCCAGCCTGGGATCCATGAGTCCCTGTCTCTAATTAACTAATTAACTATATTTAAGTAATAAATAAATAAGTAATGTCAGACTGGATTATAAAGCAAGGGAGCCCCAGTACAAGGTCTGAGAGGCCAGCGTCTGAGGTGGGATAAAGCTGAGAATTGTGAGCTAATCATGAAGTCCAATAATGCAGGGAAAGGTGAAGTCAGGGAGACGTCAGGTATCTGTGAGCAGTGACAGGCCTGTGGGAGGGAGATGAACTCAGCAGTATTTGGGGTCAGGGGTAAACAGGTCAGTGAGGTCCCTGGTTCGGCAGGGTGTAGTCACGATGTCAGCATAGTAAACTTCCTTATAGGATGAGCCCTCGGTCAGGGGGAGAACCGTGGGACAACATGGAGTAGATGGCAAGAGGTTCTGTCAGATGGGATGATAACAGGGTAGCAAAGGCAGGGAAGGAACCCCTCACCCAAATTCTCCTTAAGCAGCCAGGTGAGCACAGAGTCTCTATAAGGGATGAAATCTGACTTCCGCTTCTTTGATTGCTGAGGGACAGAAGAGGAAGGCGATGAGTCACTCCCCGATTCTCCAGCAGACTCTCCTCTTCCCGACCCTCGGGGCTTACCAAATCTGCCAGGGCTGATATCACCTTCCCCAGAGTAGTCAGGGATTTATTGATGTTGGCACCTTCCTAGAAAAGAACAAGGAATGTGGAATTGAGGCCTTCCTGTCAATCAGATCTCTGCCAGCAATGGTCTGAGGGGATGATCAGCACCCTCCCTCCCTCCATCATCCCCAAGGCTTTCACCCATCCCTCCATTCCTCACCTTTAGCCGCATACCCCGGGCCCCTGAGGAGTCAGCCCGCTCGCTCCCAGCGAGATCCACCAAGCTGATCTTACTGACCTGGGGTTGGAGGAAAGAAGCAGGTTATGACTGGGGTGAGTAGGGGATGGGAAGGGAATTAGGGGAACAGCCAGCAGAAATCTGGGTGTTTAGCAAAGGCCAGAGAAACCCGGGGTGGGGAGACAAAGGAGAACAAATGAGACAAGAGTGAGGACCTGACTACTTATTCACCCACGAATATTTATAGGTTCACTCTGTTCCAGGACAAGGGACACAGTGGAGCTTGAGCCCTGCCCCTGCTCTGAGAGTCTTTAAGGACAAGTGAACAAACAGGTTATAACACGCTGGCAGGACAGTAGAGGGGGCTGTGGATGAGGACCCCCGAGCCCAGGTGGGCAGGGAATGTGCAAGCCCCTTTCAGCACATCATTTGAGAGAGGTCCCCATTTGAAAGACATCACTACCTTTTCCGAATCCAGGCCAGTAAGCTGGTCATGGGAGCGTTGAGTGAAGACAATAGTGAAGACAGCGTGGGAACGGCTGCTGGTCTCATTCATGTTGGTGGCGGCCACAGTTCTAGAATCAAAAGGAAAAGTCATAGGTCCCTGCCCTCCACCCTCACAATTTTTGTCTCCCTTCCTCCCCAGGTAAGCCTGCCTCACCGCGCTTTATTTCCACAGTCCATGAGGTCGGCAATGTCTGCGTAGGAAGTCACAGCCAATTTAGACAGGTCTTGCACATAGGGGCCCAGTATAGGGTGCTCCCGAACACGCAGGGAGCCCCGACTCTTGGGGTTCAAGAGGTCTCGTACTCGCTCACAATAGATCTCCATATAGCTCACCTAAGTGGGAGAAGCAAACAGGACGTGAGGGAGCCACTAGCGATGCTGCCGGAGAAACTAACCTCGGTTGAAGAGGACAGTAACCTGCAGCTCAGGCATGGCAAGCATGGTGCTAAGGCTGAATACGCTAGCTCCCTGGTCCTCTCACCAACCCAAGGAGGTGGGTCTAATCATTAGCATCCCATAGAACAAACTCGGGAGCTACAAGCTGAAATCACTGCCCAAGGTCCCATTAGTCACCAGCACAGGCAAATATAGGTCCCAAGCTGACTCGAGACAGACCTCAGTGTTAATCACTGTTTTCCTACGTTCTTGTCCAGGAGTACTAGGTCTCCTGCCTACCTGCACCAAGACTGGGGCTCACCTCCACAGAATAGGAAAGCTGAGCGTTCTGGTTCACATTAACACGAGAGAAGAGGTCCTCGCAGAGCTGCATGGGGACACAGAGATCCTGTTCAGGGTATACCTGCAGCTCCCAGCCCCAGGCCAGACTTTGTCCCAAATGACCCTTCCCATAGCCCGGAGACAGGAGTCAGTACCATTTTATAGATACGAAAACAATCTCTCAAAGGTTCACATTTGTTTAGAGTTACAAGCTAGTATCCATCAGGCTAGGATGCAAGCCCATGTATCCTGTATTCTGGTCTACGGACAAGGCCACTATAGGTCACAGCCACAGAGAATTCTGGGCAACTCTTGGTCATTCACAATTACTGAAATCCACAGGGGAAACCAGTTATAAGACAAAATAAAATAGCAGTGAGCTGTAAAGCCATTGCTCCTCTAATACTAACGCCTTGGCTCTTCTCATGGAGCCTTGTTGTCCTGGTGGGTGCAAAGCTTCTCTCTCAGAAGGGCCCTGGGTGTCAGGATACAGCCAAGCCTTATATTCCATTATATTTCCAATCACAAACAGCTCCAGACCTTCAGCCCTATCCTTCTTCCCCTGTGGCAACTGAAGATGTTCCTCCCCTGGCTGCCCAGTTAGGTCCCAGCATGTACCTGAGGCACAATGCCCTGCTGCCCCGGTTCCTGCCGCCCCATCATGGTGTAGGACTTCCCGGCCCCCGTCTGCCCATAGGCAAAGATGCACACATTGTAGCCTTCGAAAGCATGCAGCAGCATCTCCTCTCCAATGTCTCGATACACCTGCTGTTGAGACGCAAACTGTGGATCCTCCACCTAGGGGAAAGGGAGGCAGAGAAAGACAGGAGTCCTGGATGAGGTTGTTCTTGGTGTCTATGGCCTGAGCATCCTGACCTCTCAGTGACTGCCCAAAGGTCCCGTGTATCCCTCATCCCCACTCCATCATTCTTACATCCCTGAGGTTCTTATCCATCCCCCTACTGGTCCTAACTACCAGGATGGATTCACTTTGCCCCTCTAGGTTCTAAATACAACCTGAGTATGATTCATTCCAACCAGAGGTACCTGTCCTCCCAGTCCAGTCCCCTGGATACCCTTATTTCCCAGCAATATCCCTGCTTATCTCCCACGGCTAAGCTCTTCCTCTGGACCCAACAGCCTCACCGAAGTATGTGACCAATAAGAATAGTCGAAGGTGAAGCTTTTGGGGGCATCTTTGCTCTGTTTGGGATTGATGATGGCTGAAAAAACAGAGAGGAAAGTCAAGGTGAGGTATGCTCAACCTCTGCCCACTTTCCCATAAGCCCCAAGGATCCAAGATCCCACTCCCCATCTCTGTCCTAACTCATTTCTTCCCTTTAATACTCCCCACCCCCTCCAGCCACCCAAGCTAATTTTGGCTTCACAGGACCCGCCCCCACTGAGCTGCCTCCCTGGATTGGGCAATGGAAGGCTGCAGGCCAACATTCCCCCTCCCAGGGACAGGAACATGGAAAGGCCAGTCTGCCCCCCCTTACAGCTAGCACATGCTCTATGCCCAGCATGGCCTTCCTCCCGGGACAGCCCAGCAGGCCTGGCCTGGCCTGCCCCTCTGATGCCCAGCTAGGCCTCTGGACTCACTCACAGGTGGTGTTGCCCTGCATGCTGACCACACACTTGGCATCCTGGCTGGTCTCACGGGCATTGAAGGGCCGAACCCTCACTGCCACTTTCACCGAGGCACCAGCCATAGCTTCAGTAACTCCTGCCCTCCTCAGCTGCAGGACAGAAAAAAAGGGTTCAGAGCCCCTGGGAGAATTCAAGACAATGCCTCCCTGCTTCTTGAGTCCATGTCTACACACTTCATCCCAGCTAGCCACCCATGCCCTCAAGGCCTCTTCTATTCCTGCTCTTCAGGCCTTCCTCCCAAATGTCAGTTCCGAAAATATTCCCGCTTCTCTCCCCAAACCAGATCCCAGTTTGTAGAGACTTGGGTCATCACCCCAGAGTTACCTGGTGTCCTGGCCCCAGATCAGAGGTGCTCTATCAGTTCTGGCTGCCACCGGCCCTTGTATGGGAAGCCCCATCCTACTCTTGGGGCCTGGCCACACCAGCACAGCTGTAAGGGAAAACCAGATTGTGGGGGAAGAGAAGTCAGGAGCACCTGTAGCTCCAAAGGTCTGTCTGGGGCTCTGTGTTTCAGGAGCAGGGGATACAGAGATGTTAGGAAAGTAAGGCTAGCCGCCCCTCTGGAGTGGCTGCAATGTGAACCCAAGGGCACAGACAGTGATATTTTTATTCCTAGTCACTCACAAGTGTACTGAGAGTTCAGTTAGTGGAGAGGGAGCAAGAGAATGAAACACAGATTGGACAGAGGGTGATTCAGACAGAAGAACACATGGGCAGAGACACTGAGGGTGGCAGGAAGGGAAGAGGAGGGACAAAAAGTTACAGACACCAAGAAAATGAGACAAATCAGACAACAGACAAGATTGAGGTCAGGCTATGAAAGAAAGCCTAGCAGAAGAAAAGGAAGAAGCAACATAGAGATGTTGAAAAGTAGGAGAGGGTTCTGGGGTGAAAGCACAAACTGGAAGCTGATGGAGATAGAGGATGAGACAAAAACTCCAATCATAAAGCCCTGATCTATAATTCTTCTCCAGGCTCACCTGGAGAAGAGAGAGGCAGAGATAGATGTGTTCCTACATAGAGCTGATAACCCCCATATTTGAGTCAGAGGGTCCAAAGGCTAGAGGTACAGCCTGGAACAAGGATCCACAGGGCCTGCCTTGCGATCCCCAAACCCCTTGCCCAGCCCCCAGTACTTCCTCCTCAGGATCTAGGACAATGGGCAGGGGAGGGTGGGGTCATCCTGTATGCATAATATCAACCCCCAGGACTCCGCGGTAGGGAGACCCAGAATACCTGTATCTTGAGGGGAGAACTGCTGGCAAGGGTTGGGGTGAGGGGGGCTTCCTGAAAGGAAAGCAAAGGGAAAAGGAAACGGACTGGACCCAAACCCAACCTGGGGGTAGTGCTCCGGGCGTTCACTAGCCTGGGGAAGGTGCCAGGCTGCAGCCTAGGAATGTGGGTGATCCGGGTGCCCACACCCTGTCAGGAGAGTCTAAGCAGCCCACGCCTACGGACGGCAGGGTGAAGACTTATGAAAGGGTTCAAGGATGCGGCATCCCCACCTGTAGTCCCCAAACACCTCCAACTTCTGGCGTGCTGGGTTGGGCCTCACCTCAGCAGCCTTCCCAGGCAGGGCAGGGGAGGGGTGAAGGGGCTGATTTATCCCACCACAGGAAGGGAGTAGCCAAAACCAGAGGCTGGCTCAGGAAGAATAGCCCTGACCCCCAAAACCCTGACTAAGGGAGGGAAGGACACCAGGACGGGCACGCAATGTGACACCTCCGATGCTAAGAAAACAGGGAATTGGGTGGCAAGGCTAGGACACAGTGGAGTAAAGAAATAAGAGAGTAGGTGCAGAGTCTGCGAGCACAGCCCTAAGGGCTCACTGGGGAGGAGGCCGCGGCTGGGGTGGGGCCGGCCAACCCGAAAGAGGGTCTCGGGTCACCTGCACCTTTCCCACCCGCTGTTCTCCAACAGGCCCCCGCCTGTCCGCTCTGGGCGGCCATGAGTCCCCAGTCCTCCAGACCAGCCAACCGACGGCTGCCCGGGGCCTGGCACCTCTCTGCGCCTCCGCGGGATAAATAGCACATGATCCGAGCTCTCGCGCCTAGCCCGCCCGGCCGGGTCGTGCAATCGGGACCTCGGAACCCCGGCTCCCCGCCCTCCAGTGCATTCCTCCGCGGGCGTCCCCTCCCTGCCCCCCACCGGCTCTCACCTCGTCGCGGCAGGACTCCCCGCGGAGAGCAAAGGGACAAACTTTCCTGGATGCCTAAGACCGGAGACGGGGAGACCCGGGGCCAGTTCGGGGCTGCCCCCGCCCCTCGCCGGGTCCCCGGGCGGCCGGCGGCGGATCGCGCCCCGGGGACGGCAGCAGTAGCGGCGCCAGCGGCCGGCGCCCGCCCGGGCAGCGCGAGCTGGGGCGGGAGCGAGGGGCGGGGGACGGACGGGCGAGCGAGCGGGCGCGCGCGCGCGGACGGACAGGCGGGCACGCGCTGTCCCGGGAAGGAGTCACCGGGTCCGCTCTAGTTAAAGGGGCAGTGCAATCTGCACTCTGACAGTAGGGCCCACCGGGCAGACACAGGGAAAGAGCGCTGCGGACACACAGGGAAAGCAGAACGCCGGAACGTGGGAAAACAATCGCTCCACAGGAGCCAGAGAAGGTGGGGGCGGACCCCCGAGGGGACTGAGGTCGGAGCCGCGCACGTCGCCGCCGTCAGAGGCGCTCCTAGAAGGCGGGGCTTGTCGGTAGACCACGCCCAGGAGGCGGTCCGGTCAGCCCGGCCTTCAGGCTAGCGAGGCGAGCGGAGCGACTACGGTCCCTTCGGTCCCGACGGAGCTCCTTCCTGCCCGACCTGAGGTTCCAGAATTCGCTTCGCAGTTGCCTCAGGTGATGGGGCCAAATGCAGGCATCGCCGGCGTAGCCGCTCGATGCTCTCTTCCCAGATAGCCTTCAAGTTTGAGTCCCCGACCGCCGCCTCAGCCCCAGTCAGCCCCTCAGGCTCAGGTGTCTTCATAGGCCGCAGCTGCCTTCTGAGGGCAGGAGACCCCTGCCCACCCAGCCTGGTCTGCGCATGTCCCTCCGCAGCATAGGCTCACTACCCCACGGCCCCTCCTATGCCCTCCTGCTTATTGCCAAAGGTTTGGCTGTGGGCCCCGATCTACCTGCCAAAGGTCGCCTCAGCCCCCTCAGGCCCAACCACACCCTGGGGCCTTGGTCCTTCCTTCCTGGCACTTTCCCCACCGCCAGGCTCCTCAGCCAGGGCATCATCCTTCAGATGCCCATCTACCCTCTTAGCTGTGTCTTGCTGCCAAGGTCTTGATGATCCCTTGGTCAACTTGATTCTGTCTGACTGCCTCAATCCGCCCGGCCCCTTAGATCCAGGTCACCTACTCAGGCCTAACCGAAGGCCGCATGCCCCTCAGTTCCCAATTGCGCCCCTAGTTCTAGACCCCCTTCCAACTCAGGACGTCCAGTTTCGACCTCACATGCCCTCTCAGCCCAACTCTATCCCATCTGCCACTTCAAGAACACTCCTTTGGTCTTTTATCTTCCGCAACCATTTTAGCTCCGTCTAGCTACCCTTACTGGTTTTATGGCTTTTATTTTGGGTCTCTCTTTGTAACCCATACCCCAGTCCGGATTTAAACTCTCAATCCTGAGTTAACTTCCTGAATGCTGGAATCCCAGGATTGCAAAACTATGCCTAACTCAACTTTGGCTACCCTTTGCTTCTGACACATTCAGATTGGCTCTCTCTGTCCTTTATGCAGGTCTGCAGGCACTCCTAACTTACCTAGTAGTTTATTGGTCGGGGTTCCCAGAGCCTTCCTTGCTCGTGCAGGCAAGCTGCTCTGCCGCTGAACCACACCTCTATCGCCTCCCTAGCTTTTTTTTCTTTTCTTTTTGGTTCTTTGAGACAGGGTTTCTCTGTAGCTTTAGAGCCTGACCTGGAACATGTAGACCAGGTCGGTCTTGAACTCACAGAGATCCTCCTGCCTCTGCCTCCTGAGTGCTGGGATTAAAGGAGTGTGCCACCACCGTCCGGCCTCCCTAGCTTTCTTATATGTTTTGGTTTATACAAAGTCTTGCTGTTATAAACTAGGTTGGACTCAAACTCATTTTGCTCCTTCATGAGCCTCCTGAGTGTTTAGGATTATAATCTGGATGGCTTTTATCTAATATTTCTTCATTTATTTTATTTTTCTGTTTTTTATTTTTAAAAAATAAGTATTTATTGTTTTAGTGTGTGTGTGTAGACGTCAGATCAGGGATCAAACTCAGGTCATCTGGCTGAGGTAGCAAGCATTTTTATCATTGAACCAGCTCTTTGGTCCATATCTAGTATATTTTTTTAAGGTTTTATTTTTAAGCTGTGGAATGGTGGCACACACTTTTAATCCCAGCATTCAGGAGACAGAGGCAGGCAGATTTCTGAGTTTGAAGCCAACCTAGTCTACACAGTGAGTTCCAAGACAGCCAGGGCTACACGGAAAAACCCTGTCTTGAAAAAGAGGAAAAAAATTAGTTTAAATTAATTATGTGTGTGCTCAAATTTGTGCATGAGGATCCATTGAGGATGTGGGTGCTTGTGGAGGTCAGAAGAGGAAATCAGATGTTCTAGAGCCAGAGTTACAGGTGGTTGTGAGCTGTATGACATGGCTGCTGGGTACCAAACTCAGTCCTCTGCAAGAGCAGCAAGCTCTCTTAAAGACTGAGCCATCTCTCCAGCCTTCATAGCGAGTATTTTAAATTTTTTTTATATAATCACACCCCCACACACACCTTTCACCATATCTAGGTCATCTGTCCCAAATGCTAGCTAAGTGCAACTGAGGTTTTATTTATTTCATTTTTATGTGTGTTTTGTTTGCATGTACATATGTGAGCCATGTGTGTTCCTGGTGCCTACAGAGGTTAGAAAAAGGTGTCAGATGACGTTACAGATTTTTATGAACCACCATGTGGGTTCTGGGAACTAAACCCAGGTCCTCTGCAGGAGCAACGAGTTTTCTTAGGAGCTGAACCATCTCTCCAGTCCCACAAGTGGAGTTTATTAAGAAAAGGTTCTGTGCTGGGTGGTGGTGGTGCATGCCTTTAATACCAGCACTCAGGAGGCAGAGGCAGGCTGATCTCTATGGGGATGAGGCCAGCCTGGTCTATAAAGTGAGTTTCAGGACAGCCAGGACTACACAGAGAAACTCTAGCTCGAAAACAAAAACAAACAAACAAACAGAAAAGGTTCTAAAATAGATTTTACCATAGGCATTAAAAGAAAAAGGGCAGGTACTGAAGAGTTGACTCCGCCAGTAAGAGCCCTTACTGCTTCTGCAAAGGTCGTCTTCTGCCCTCCTCCAGCTCCTGCATACACAAAGTAAACATAAACTCATAAGGCTCACATATACACACAGAAATCAAAAATTAGTAAGTCTTGGAAGAAAGAAGAGCTCAGGAATACATATACACCCAAGTATGGATTCAGATTTCTCAAGAGAGTTTCTGTGCAACTGACTTCACTGTTCACTTTACTATAGACCAACAGCCCTCAGCCTTCCTAACGTGACCCTTGAATACAGTCCCTCATGCTATGGCAATCCCCCAACCATAAAATTTTGTTGCTACTTCATAAGTGTAATCTTGGCACTGTGATTAATCATAGTGTATATATGTTTTTTGATGGTCTTGATTACAGCTGTGAAAAGATCATTGGACCCCCCCTCAGGGGATCACGACCCACGGGCTGAGAATGGTGTAGACCGCGACCCACAGGTTGAAAACCACTGGTGCAGACCCTCTCAGTTGCTCCCTTTTGTTGTCATTTCTCCTATGGTTTCGCTAACCTTTCATATCCAATTTATTACCAACCCCAATTCCTCCACTTCTCTGTCCCCAGTCGCCAGTTCTAGTCCAACTGTTGCCAAAGGGCTCCGCCCCATCCGGCTTCCGCCTGTCGTGCTTTCAGTTCCATCATCTTGTATTACGAGTAACTTAACTTGCGTCTGTGATTTTCATTTACGCTATACGTTTAGCTCCAGGAAATATTCTCCTTCATATCACCCACCTTTCCTGCTGTTGTCTCCAACTTCACATGTTCAGTTAACAGTACAGCACTACCGTCTCTCTTAGGGTTATGAAGCTCTCTTTTTTCAGCATGTTCGGTCCCTTTCCAATCTCTACACTTGTTCATGGTCTGGTCTACAGCTATTACATGAGTGAATGATTCATTACCCATTATCCTCCCAGCACCAAGGAGGAGATCCAGTCCTGCTACCCAGCTAAGTCCAGTCATGGAGGGACAGGAAGATGGCAACAACATCCTCCCTTTTGCCAAGTGAGTCCCCCCTGTTGGGTGGGAAGGATAAGGATGGGTTAGAGGGAAGAGCTGGATTCTTTTCAGAAAGGAGTGGAGTAAGAAAGAACAGGAACCTCAGTGTCCATGTTTAGGAGATGGATGGTTTGTTAATTATTCAATAAATGGTTTACTATTATTACTTTATTTTAAATTGTCCATGGAGGCCAGAAGAAGGCTTGGGCTGTCCTAGAAACAGAGTTACAGGGAGTTTTGAGCCTGCTGACATGGGTGATGGGGAACGAACTCAGGTCTTCTGCCAGACCAGTATGTGTGCTCTTAACCACTGAGCCAGCTCTCTAGCCCCAACAGTTTTGAACACTGTAATGTTCTAGACACTGTAGTAGGCACTGGGGATTCAACAATTAGAAAGGAAGGGGATCACCTCTCAGAGAGCTCGTAGTAGAGCAGAATGTATAAACAAGCATCGTTACACCTAGTTATAAGAACTACACAAAAAGATATGTAAGTATAAAGTGATGGCAGATTAGGAGTTAGAGGAGATGGAAGGTAGGGTCACTGTAGAAAACTATTGTGTAGAAGATAATTTGAAATGAGATTGAGCTTGTCTGCAGAAGGGGGATGGTGGAGGCAAGAAGGAAATAAACTTGGAATGTTCTAGTAACAAATGAGACCAATGTAATTGAAACTTGTTGACTGAAGAAAACGTGAAAAATAAAGTTAAGAGAGTTAGGAAAAGTCAGATCGTAGAAATCCTTGCAGTCCACAGACAAAAACTCTGTGTTTTTATCCTGAATATGGTGGGAATAGAAAGTTTTCAGCAGCCGGGCGGTGGTGGTGCACGCCTTTAATCCCAGCACTCGGGAGGCAGAGGCAGGCGGATCTCTGTGAGTTCTGAGACCAGCCTGGTCTACAAGAGCTAGTTCCAGGACAGGCTCCAAAACCACAGTGAAACCCTGTCTCGAAAAAACAAAAAAAAAAAAAAGTTTTCAGCAAGGAAATGAAATAAGCACACTTTTTCCTTCGGCCTTTTTCTTTTTTCTTTTTTTGTTTTTTTTGTTTTGTTTTGTTTTGTTTTTGTTTTTGTTGTTGTTGTTTTTGTTTTCGAGACTGGGCTTCTTGGCTGTTTTAGCACTAGCTCTGTAGACCAGGCCGGCCTTGAACTCAGAGATCTGCCTGTCTCTGCCTCCTAAATGCTGGGATTAAAGGTGTACACCACCACCTCCCAACCCTCCTTCGACCTTTTTCATTATAGAAAATTTCAAATAAATATAGCAGAGAAAGAGTATTTTGAACTGATGTTCTCAATTCAGGGAGAGTCAATAATTTTCATTATATGGATATTCTTTTTACCTATCTATCCCCCTCAGTTTGGTGGGGGGGGGGTGAGACGGGGTTTCACTGTGTAGCCCTGGCTATCCTGGAACTAGCTCTGTAGACCAGGCTGACCTTGAACTCACAGAGATCTGCCTGCCTCTGCCTCCTGAGAACTGTGCCACCACTGCCCAGCTCCCCCTTAGTTTTTAAAAATAATTTATTTGTGTGTGTGTATGTGTGAGTTTATGGCCACATATATGAGCAGGTGTGTGCACCATGTTGCACACATGGATGCCAGAAGGTGTGAGTATCCTCTATCATTTGCTACTTACTCTTCTCTAAATTTTTTTGAAGATTTTATTAATCTTATTTTATGTGTATGAGTGTTTTGACAGTGTACCATGTGGGTTCTGGGAACCTAACCTGGGTCCTCTGCAAGAGCAACAAGTACTTTTAACCACTGAGCTATCTCTCCAGTCAAACCATATCTTCCTTTGAGGCAGCGTCTCCCTCTAAACCTGGTGTTCACATTTTCTCAGAGTGGAAGTCTGCACACCCCAGCAGTCCTGTCTCTGACCCTTCAGAGGTAGGGTCACAGGTGTGTGAGGGACACTAGCTTGTTACATGGGTGCTCATGATTGAACAGGAAGCATTAACTCTAAGTGGTATCTCCAGCCCCTTTGTTTGTTTTAGAAGTGGGGTCTTATACAGTTTAGGCTAGCCTCATACTTACTATGTAGAAAAGGATGATTTTGAACTCCTAACCCTCCTGTCATTGTCTCCCAAGTGCTGAGATTATACACATTCACCAGAGAGTGTTGGATCTCCTAAAGGTGGAGTTTAGGGGCAGTTGTGAGCTGTCTGATGTGAGTGCTGGGAGCTCAACCTCAGTTCTCTGAAAGAGCAGTAAATGCTCTTAACCACTAAGCCAATATGATACAAAGGATTATTTTTGCTGGACTCAGGAGGCAGAGATAGAGAAAAAAGATTACTTTCTCCTGTTCTGTGTAGTAGAATTGGGGAGAGGGGAATAAGAAGTGAAACAGGGGCTGGAGAGATGGCTCAAGCAGTTAAGAGCATTTGTTGGATCTGGATTCAATTCCCAGCATGCACATGGCAGCTAAAAACTGTGTATAACTCCATGTCTAGAGGATCCAATGCCCTCTTCCTGTCTCTGTGGGCACTGCATGAACGTGTTGAACAAATATATATATGCAAGCAAACATCCAAACACATAAAATAAAAAAACACATCCTTAAAAATAAAAAGAACTGGGGCTTGTGGGATGTCTCAGTGATTAAGAGTGCTGGCTGCTCTTCCAAAGACCCAGATTCAGTTCCCAACACCCATCTGGCATCTGATACACTCTTCCAGGCTCTGTGGACACTGCATGCACATGATACACAGACACACATACAGGCAAAGCATACATACAATATGAAATAAAAATAAAAATTATTTTTTTTTGGCTTTTTGAGACAGGGTCTCTCTGTCTAGCCCTGGCTGTCCTGGAACTCACTCTGTAGACCAGACTGACTTCAAACTCAAAGATCCACCTGCCTCTGCCTCCTGAGTTCTGGGATCAAAGGTATTCACCACCACTGCCTGGCTAAATTTTTAAAATAATAAGAATAATAATAGAAATAGGGAGAGCAAAATAGACCATTGCCATAGTCCAAGGAGAGAAAGATGATAGGTGATTGCAATATGAGAATGAAAATGGAAACAGTGGTCAAATCTGAGTATTGTTCAGATATACAGCTCACTGGATTGGCCAATGGATTAGATACAGGAAATGAGGGGAAATATACCATAGGAAGTTTTGGGCCATAGCAGCTAGGCATATGGGGTATATCTTTTATCAGGTTGAAGGCTGAGAAGATGTTGGGGTGGAGCCTAAGAAGGAACCGGGCTGAACAGATTTTTGGAGTATTAGCATGCTGGAGATATTTAAAGTCATGAAATTGAATGAAACCACCTACAGACAGATAGAAGTGAAGACTATAAAAGACTCCCTGATATTTCAGTTAAAGACTAGGAAGTTGGGCCAGGCATGATGGTGCATACCTTTAATCCCAGCACTCAGGAGGCAGAGGCAGACAGATTTCTGTGAGTTCAGAGCCAGACTGGTCTATATAGCAAGTTCCAGAACAGCCAGAACTACATAGTGAGACCCTGTCTGTTGAAATAGGAGCGGCAGGGCTGCGTCCCCAGCACCCTGGCAGCCTGCTAGCTCATGCCCGAAATAACAACACACAAATTGTATTCTTTTAAACACTGCTTGCCCATTATATCTAGCCTCTTCTCGGCTAACTCTCGCACCTGGACTAGCCCATTTCTAATAATGTGTGTAAGCACCCCAAGGTCTCTCAAAACAAACAAAAAAAATCAGAAAATTAAGCATCATTCAATCTGGGGGACAAGAAAGTAATAAGTACTGTTCACACATAGCTCCTACACCCTGCATACAAGGCTATTGATCGTTCTTCGATACATAAGACACAGTAGGGTAAACAGGGTTTCTCTCTTGGATCTTCATTAACTTAAAGGAACCTTGTCTATCAAAATAACCTGAGTAACCAAAGCCTTCCCTTCTAAAATAATTTTATTTACTTATTTTTGAGTTTTTCAATGGTTTTAGGCAACCCCGTGAAAGGGGCTGCAACCCACAGGTTGAGAACACTGCTCTGAGACATGAGCCTACCTTGTTCTCCTCTCAGGAGTTCCAGGGTGGTCAGCCGATCTTCACGCTGCAGCCAGCCCTCCCAGAGTAGCAGACCAATGCCTCAGCCTTACGGAGACACCTTCTGGGAGAATCTTAGCCGAAGGTCTAGGTGAGTAGAGCAGAAACCGGAAGCTGGAGGTGGGAAGGTGAGGCTCTACTGTTTTTAAGGATCATGCATCCTTACAGCATGAGCCCATGTTTGGAGGCCATTTCCCACTTTGATGAAACTGTAGCTCCAACAGGAGGTTGGAGAGTTTGTGAGAGAAGTGGTGTTTATTGGGGTGTCCTTTCTGACTCCAGTTCCTATTTTTGTTCTTCTCAGCTCCAACTGGATGGAAGAACAGTACATTCCACCAATGCTGGTATAACAAGCCCTGCTCCTCAACCTTCTGTTAGAGTGTGCTTGCTGCCTTCCTGTCCTTATTACACTTTTTCTCTGGTATTTCCCAACCAGTATCTAAGCAGGCCCTGTTTACTGTAAACCAAGCATCCTGTTTTCCAGATCAGACCCAGTTTCCAAAGACCCCAGATTTTCTAGTTCAGCCCAAATTTCCTGGAAACCCACATTTGTCCACCCATTTAGCAACTGTTTTTCCTCCTTGGCACAGAGGACCACTGGGTGCTCGCAGCCTGGCCTGCACCCTCTTGAGGGGCTTCCTCCTCCTGCAAAGCTCTGGAGAAGAAAACGAAAGAAGCTGCATTTGATGCAGACGGGCCCTGGAAACATTCCGGCCCATGTTAGAGCTGTTACGTATCACCTGGAGGACTTGAGGAGGCGACAGAGAACCATCAACGAGTAAGGAGGCATGGCATCTGGCCTCTGGGAGCCAGGCAGGGATTGGTGGAGGGTAATTTGAACTAAAGAAAGTTGAGAGCTTTAAGAGAATTCATTGGTACTTGGAAAGGAACCATGCCCCTGGTGTGATTCAAACATAATTTTCTTATTTTTTGCATTTAATTATGTATGTTCATATGTACTGCATGTCACAGCATGTGTGTGGAGATCAGAGAATAATTTATGGGAACTGGTCCTCTTCTTCCATCATCTGGGCCTGACTTAGACCATCAAGTTGGTGGCAAATACCTTTACCTGCTAAGTCATCTTGCTGGTCCTCAAACATAATTTCTATAATATGAAAGAAGCAATTGAGGGATTGAAGATAAGTGAAATGGGCCATGATGACTAGAGAGCACATCACTGAATGAGGGAAATTAGGGGTCGCTGACAGGCCCCTGAACTGAAAATTCTTCTGTCTGTGGAGAGCAAAAAGTCAAATGGTACCACCTATCCACCTATGAGTCTCAGCAGGAAGTACTTCAGACCAGAAGGGGGAAGAATGTAGAAGCTGGAAGCCTGACTCCAGGCCCCTTCCTCGTAAACCTAATGTCTCCACAGACTAAAGAAGGCCCAGTGGGGAAGCTCTGAGGTTCCATCTGAGATCCCCCAAGTACCTGAAGAGGGCTATGGATTCCTCAGCACTACTGAATACCTTGACGTGGAAGAAGAGAGGGGAACCGATCCGCAGGAAGAGAATTATTTTGTCACTCCCAGGGATCAGGTATGATTGGAGATGAATTTGATAGGGGTAGGGTGGAGGGTGATATCAATTCATAATCTCGAATGGGAAGGCGGCACAAGCCAAGAGCTGTTGAATAGCTGAATTTAAAAACGAAAAGTAGGGGGCTGGAGAGATGGCTCAGTGGTTAAGAGCATTGCCTGCTCTTCCAAAGGTCCTGAGTTCAATTCCCAGCAACCACATGGTGGCTCACAACCATCTGTAATAAGGTCTGGTGCCCTCTTCTGGCCTGCAGGAATACACACAGATAGAATGTTGTATACATAATAAATAAATAAATAAATAAATAAATAAATAAATAAATAAATATTTAAAAAAAAAAAAACGAAAAGTAGTCATGAACCCAAGCTTGGGGAGCGGGGCGTGCCTGAATTTGGCCATTAAGAAACGTGGAGACCTGTTTTTCCATTCTCGTCCCTCTCCCCCTTCTCTCATCCACAGCTGCTTTGGTCTCCCTGGACCCCCTTAGGCCAGGGGGGGACTTATGCCTCTGGGCGGCTAAGCTCTCTGGCCCACAGCACTGTTACAGCCAGGAGGAACCCCACTTACAATCCTCAGAGGATGGAGCTGGAGTCTGAGGAGTAGTGGAAAATCATCCATGCCCAAGCTTCCAGACCTCACTGCTGGCGGCAAGATGGTTGTCCTTCTCCTAACCCTAACTGTTGACCACAGCCTATTTGAGTTCCTATCCAACGGTCCCATTCCCTCACAGCCGGGACCCTGGTCTTGTGTTCTTTCTGTTCTGTTATTAAAGAGCCTGGAAGCAGTGAGAGGGGAACTGGAAAGGAGGACTTCTTTGATTTTCTTGAGGACCCAATTACAATGAAGTCAAGCAAGGTCCCCAAATTAGACGAGCCTCGCCCAAGACAAGAGGAGTTCTGCCTAGGTCCAGCCTCCAGGGCTCTGGCCCTGTACCTCTGCCCAAGCCCCATCCTCCTGCGCCCACAGTCACATCAGTCAGCTGAGGTTCCGCCTCCGAATCCCGGTTCCCTCAGCGCTATTGCCCCTTTAGAGACGATCCTGCAGCGGGTCGCGTAGACTGGCCCAGTGTGCTGACCCCAGGTTCCCTTCTCGACCCCGTTCCCTTAATTGGGAGGCCCCGCCCCGTGCGCACTGACGTCGAACGCCGCTGTCAGCCGGCGCTAGGGGGGGTCGGTTTGGGGTAGAATGGCCGCTGCCGCCGTCACCCGCGGGACCCCGGGAGGTAAGAGCCAGGGCCTCTCGCCCGCCTCTCCACCCCCGCGCCAGGGGGCGCAGCTCCACGCGGTCCGGGTGTGGAGCACGGCGCCGGGGACCACCGTCCCTCCTCCCCGTTTGCCTCCACCTTGCTGCTTCCGTCCTCCTTCCCCGCGCCAGGGGGCGCCTCTAGGCGCAGGGCCCCATCACAGACCAGAGAGTGCGGGGACTGCCCCCAGACCCCCACACCCGGTACCGCTCTGCCCCTTGCCCGCCAGGTGTTCATGAACTCTGTTCAGCTGCTTCTCCAGAACATCCGGGTTTCCGGGAGGGACCCTCCCACCTCGAAGATTCTCCCAGGACCCCCGCCCCCTTTGGGGGGGAGTACCCCACCCCCAGCGCCAGGCGTGTCATAGACCTGAACCACCCTCAGGCCTGCTATCTCATCTCTCTCTTGCTCTGCACCCTGGCAAGCTGCCTAGCCTGGGCTGCGCACCTGCACCCTATGGTGGACTCCTTATCCCAACCCTAGCCTCACTGCACACCACCAATCCTGAATGGGCTTCCACCCCCTCTCCATCCCTGGACACCTGGCAGAACCCGCGCAGAGAGCCTCCTCCAGCTCCCATCTGTTCCCCAAGAGGGCGGAGGCTCAGACTGGAGCCAGAGCAGTAGTAGACGGGATATGGTAGGCTGGAGGTTGGGGAGGTAGGAGTGCTGAGGTGAAGTGAAATGCTAGCTGCAAAGGGAAAGCCGGAATGTCCTACCCGGAAGCTTGGTCCAACATGTCTACTCCAAATTCTCTTAGCTCATGATCAACCTGAGAGAGAGAGAGAGAGAGAGAGTAAGTGAGGTCAGTTATCAGATCTGCCCTTCCCCTCAGAAAAAAAAAAAAAATCAAATAGAGAAGCAACTCAGGGTGTGTCTTCCAAGGGCCAGCTTGTCACCAAGCTCACATCTGCTTTCCTCCAGCGTCCGTCCAGGTTGGCTTGCCAAGCCACCCTCCAAGGATTGGAGCTCCAGCTCCTACATCTGGCCCACCCTTAGCCCCAGCCTTGCTCTCCCTTCCCAGATGCACCCTGAGTTCTTCTGTTTGGCTTTTCCATGGGGAAAGATCTAATAACTGACCTCACCTACTCTCTCCTTCAGGTTGGCCAGGGCATGGGAGAATCTGGGTTAGACGAGCAGAACCCAGCCTGCTGCCCTGGGGAATGCTCCAAAACTGTCAGCCTCCACCACTCATCCTTTTCTTCCTGATCACTCTGTTCTGTCTTGTCTCCCCACTCCTGTTGGTTCCTGGCACTTATGTCTGGGTTCTCTTTTATCCCTGTTCTCTAGTTCTGCTGTCACATTCTAGTACAACCTTTCCTTTATCCTTCCCAGATATCGGGAGTGAGTTCTATGGCTCCTCATCTTGAATTAATGTGGGGGCCTCTTCCATGACCTTGTTCTCTCCTTTCCCAGCACAGACTCCCCCTCCCCCCGGCCCCTCAGGCCGGGGGTGACCTTGCCCCCTGGAACCCTCACCATGAATACCAAGGACACCACTGAGGTTGCTGGTGAGTTCACAAAACAGGTTCCCAGTTTGGGCACAATCGTCTGTGTTCTGCTGTTCTTTGCTCCCCACCTCTCTAGTCCTGGTCCTAGTCTCCCTGGTGCTCTTGGTTACACTGCGCCTCTCTCCTCCAGATCGCCGCTAACAAAGCCCTCCCTTCTGGTTCCCTCTAGAGAACAGCCACCATCTGAAGATCTTCCTCCCCAAGAAACTGCTGGAGTGTCTTCCTCGATGCCCACTGCTGCCTCCAGAGCGGCTCCGATGGAATACAAATGAGGTTTTCCTCGGGAATATGGGGTTAGGGCTGGAGGGGCAAGGAGGACCTGCCTCTGTCTGTGGACACTCACTACCAAACACTAGTCTAGGCTTTGGGGTCACAGAATTACAAAACCTTGGACTTAGAGGAGTCCATTTCTCTTTGGTATAGTCCATCCATAGAAAAACAAAGCTTAGTAGTTCTCCATAGTGAGCACCAGGCTGTGTATCCAACCTGTGCTATCTCATCTATTGTAGATGGTAATGAAGAGGAAAGTGATTTGTTTTGCTTCTGGGTGTTAAACGTTGGGTTTTGGACAGGGTATCATGTAGTCCAGGCTAGCCTCAAACTTGCTATGTAGGCAAGACTGGGTTTGAACTCATTCTTTTTCCTATTCTCTCTCTGTCTCTCCTCTCTCTCTTCCCCTGAGATAGCATCCCATGTAGCCCAGATTGACTTTACACTCCCTGTGTAGCCAAGGATGATCTTAAATATCCGATGCTCCTGCCTCTACTTCCCAAGAGCTAGGATTCTAAAGGTGTGCCACCAAACCCAGTTAATGTGGTTCTGGGGAACGACCCCAAGGCCTTGTGCATACTAGATAAGCCCTCTACCAACTGAGTCCCAGTCCCTGAACGCTGATTCTCCTGCTTCCATGTCCTTAGTACTAGGATTTCAGGTGTGTGCTACTCTGCCTCACTTTATCTTTTTCTTCCTTAAACAGGGTCTCACCATTTATCCCAGGCTAACCTCCACGTATTGGCCTGTGTGGTGGTGGTGGATGTGTATATGTACATATGTGCAGGCGTGTGTGGTTACATATGTTTGTGGAGGCTAGAGGTCTGTGTCAATGTCTTCCTTAGTCACTTTCCATGCTCTACCTAATTTTTTGAGACAGGGACTTTCTTTTTGTTTTTGTTTTTTGAGACAGGGTCTCTCTGTGTACTGTGTGTAGCACTGGCTGTCCTGGAACTCATTCTGTAGATCAGGCTGGCCTTGAACTCACAGAGATCCCCCTGCCTCTGCCTTCCAAGTACTGGGATTAAAGGTGTGTGCCACCACTGGCCTTTCAATGAGACTGAAGCTCACTGATTGGCTGGACTAGCTGGCCAGCCAGCCCCAGAACCATGAACCATCTTGTCTCTCTTTCCCCGGCATTAGGATTACAGGCATCAGGCATGCACAGCTGTGCCCAGCTTCTTAGGTGGGTGCTGGGGATCTGAATTTATGTCCACACTTGGACAGCAAGCACCTTACTGACCGAATCATTTCTCCAACCTAAAGTTGGAGAGACAGGGACTCAGTGGCCTGAGCTCCTGATCTTCCTGCCTCAGCCTCCTGAGTGCTGGATACTGGTATTACAGGTAGATACCCACATACCTGTCTCAGAGCCCCTACTTTTTACCACCTTCTGGAGGGCACAGTTTCTGGGATGTCACTTTCTGTGTTCTGTATACGTATTTGTATTTCCTCGTATGCAGTTAGTGGTTGACAATTACTGATTCAGTATTAGAATTGTAGCCAGCCAATAGTGGCGCACACCTTTAATCCCAGCACTTGGGAGGCAGAGGCAGGCAGATCTCTGTGAGTTTGAGGTCGGCCTGGTCTACAGAGCTAGTTTCAGGACAGGTTCCAAAGCTACAGAGAAACCATGTCTCAAAAAAATCAAAAGATAAAAAAAAAAAGAAAAGGATTGTCTGTAAAGCCAGAGGTGGCAGCTCACACCCACAGTCCTAGCACTCAGGAGGCAGGCAGAAGGATTACAACACACTGTGGCCAGCCTGGTCTATATATCAAGTACAAGAAGACAGGCCAAGGTTATGTAGTGAGACTGTGTACTGTCAATAAAAATGGGTGTGTTTGCATATGGTTATTGTAGGCGCTACAGAGCCTTCAGGAAGTTCAGAGAAGCAGCAAGTCTTCACAGAGCACCTGGGAAGCACCTATGATTCTCATGATGACACAGGCATTCATATGGTACTTTAGGCTTGTAGGGCAGTAGCGTGGAGAATGTGATTGTTGGAGGTGTGTTCAAGAAGGAACCAATGAGCCCATCTGGTGGGACCAGTGGGTTGAATTTGAGTAAATAGTAGGAATGATAGTTTGATACTCTTTCTGAAAGCCTTGGAGTCAGACAGAGAACCTGGGGTCCTTGTCAGTGTCAAGCCATTGACATTTCGCAGAAAGGGTCACAGAGAAAGTACCTAACATGAATAAAGGGTAAACTTGAAGCTGGCTCCACGATATAGGCTCCAGTATGGGGAGAGAGAGATAAGTGGTTAGGTTGTTTTTATTTTCTCCTTCTGGTACTTGAACCTGGGGCCTTGCACATGCTAAACAAGCACTGTCTTTTTCTGTTACGGAACTATATCCCCAACCTGAAGTTAGGGTAGAACTAGCTGTTCTTAAGAGGACTGTAAGACCTTGCTGGGCCCAAATACCTGCCATACCTCTGCAGAGACCCTGAGCCATTGACCAAGGGGGTGACCCAAGTGTTTCCTCTCCTCCAGGAGATCGCATCCTACCTGATCACCTTTGAGAAACATGATGAGTGGCTGTCCTGTGCCCCAAAGACAAGGTGAGAAGGTTCTCCAGTTTCAAAAATAACAGGAATCCTGGGCTGTATTCATAAAACTCAAGCCTTCCCGCTCTCCTTCCAGGCCTCAGAATGGCTCCATTATCCTCTACAATCGTAAGAAGGTGAAATACCGAAAGGATGGTTACCTTTGGAAGAAGCGGAAGGACGGGAAGACCACCCGAGAGGACCACATGAAACTCAAGGT